TGCTGAAGTTGAAACTCCAGTACTTTTGCCACCTCATGAGAAGAGTTAACTCTTTGGAGAAGACCCTGATGCTGGGAGGGATTGCGGGCAGGAGGAGAAGGGGAAAACAAAGGATGATATGGCTGGTGGAATCACTGGCATGAGTTTGAGTAAACTCTGTGAGTTGGTGATGGACAGGGAGGCCTGGCATGCTGTGCTTCATGGAGTTGCAAACAGTTGGATTCAACTGAGTGACTGAACTGAACTGAACTGAACAGAAGCAATATCTGTAATGAAACAATCAGGGCTATGGGAAAGCCAAGTTTGCCATCTGCATTTTTGGAGTTCCCTGACAAACCTCATTTTTATTTGATGTGATAAAGCCATCCCTGGCTGCAGGGTTGATGCCCTCACAGTGAAAAATGTTAATGTTTTACTGAACATTACATCCTAGTTTGTTATCACCTCTGAGATATTTCCTTGTTGTTATGTTACATTGTTAAAATTTTATATAAGTTGTTAAAAGGACATCCTTTGTTTTTAAAGCTGACATCAGTAATCAGTATTTGGATAAAGATCGATGCTCTATGACATACAACCAGGAGATTAACACCTGGATATAATCACTTAACTAAGTCAGATGACTTGGGGCATACTGGGCTATACCTAATGAAAGCTCCTGTCTTAAATTCTTTTGACCTTATTTTCTCCCTAGATTATTTTATATATTGTCTGTTTCACAAAATTGCTGTGTCTTACATTATCAAGTACATGACACAGTCACTGATAAAATACTGATGTATATAGTTCCATATGAGATCAATGATTGTAATTATGTAAATCTAGATATGGTAAGAAACAACAAGAGGGAAGACTTTCTTGCACCAAGAGGCTAACAAGACAGAAATGGACTGGAGATTTTTGCTATTCACAGAGCCTAGTCAAATAGCATCACACTGATTGACATACCAATGAAAACTTCACTAGGCCTGGAAATGAGCCTTACCCACATCATGGGACGCAACGGACATGAAACACCCTGAACGCATGGTCAAATCTTTGGCTAGGAAGGGGTCCTGCTGGCTGGAAACTGGCACTTACAAGCTGTCTCTGCAAAGAGTAAATCATGGCTACTTACTGAATTCAACATATCTTGAAAGGAATTCGGGTGGATATAAGAAATTAGATACTGGATCTGTGCTCTGAGAAAAATACGACAAAATAAGTCTTCAGAATGTCAGATGTTTTCTGGCAAAGTTTTTTTTTTTTTTATTTTCTCTCTCTCTTGGTGGAATAAGATGGCTGAAGATGGCTGAAGAGTTGGTGGACATGCAGGACATCACTCTCTATGGATGCATCAGGAATATACCTTCAGACACAGATGTGCTTGGAGAACATCAGCTGAGAGTGAGCATGAGTACCTGAACACCAGAGAAGAAAATATAGATCCACGCAAATTTCTGTAGGATGAAGGAAATAGGGGGCAAAGCAGAAGTGTTAGTAGCAACGAACCTGTCCTCAACAAATGAAGAAACTGAAGAAGGGGTTCAAACCCCACATTGTGGGGGGGATCCTTATCTGGATCAAAGGAGAAACATTTGAGATTGTGAGTGAAGCAGTTGATCTTTGAAAGCCTAAATGAAATGATAATCAGACAATCCTTGCTGCACCATACATACCACAGACCGTTGCAGGTTCCCTAGACGGTGCAACGGCTGGAAGCTGGAGCAGAGGGATTGTGGAGCAAACCCAGGGCATGGGCTGCTGTGGACTGTTGGGAGATGAATGGAGGGGACGTGAGGGAGGAGATTGTGGGAAGTGTCTTTGGAAGAAAGCCATGCAGCCATGACAGCTAGGTGCTGGTACCGAATCATGTATAGTGGGTGGAGCCATCACCGTCGTCTCTCTCTCCCCACCTGTCAGCACTGGCAGCTGAACAATATAGAGGCTGCCCATCAAGCACCTGATACATGGAAGAACAGAGTAGGACCCCAGCCTAGGTGTTCCTTTACATGCCTGACATGCCAAACAGCAGAAAAGACCCCAGTTGGGGTGGGGGGCACAACTTGTGCCTGATGTGGTAAACAAGAGAGGAGGGCCAAGCGAGGCAACGTTCTACTGTGTATAATGGGAAGAGTAACATGGAAAAACTAGACAAAGAGGCTTCCTGATTGCCAGCTGCCAGAGCCTTGGAAAAAGAATCTGATGGGGCATAATTTCTGCAGGAAGCAGTCTGTATCCCTGCACACTTGCTGTCACCCAGGCCTGATGCAGTGATGAAAGTGAAAGGAGCTGAGACATGGAACAACCTAAAGAGGAGGCATGGAAGGTCCCCAGATATGGGGTGGATGGTTGACCTATCTTTGCAGTGCCCCTGTCCAGGACAGGAATGAGGGAAGGATGGCCAGAGATAACTCTGGACCAGGGCTGCACAAATCTGGATTTAGATCAAAATTAAATCAACAGATAAACACAATTATAATTTCTGCTGTGTTTTCTTGTGTTTGGGTTGTAAGGTGTGAGGATTCACCCAGAGCAAATCAGATGGGGTGGGGATTTGAAACCACTGCTTGTGGACCGCTCAGTCTGTGGGGAAATGTGCCAGTCTGTGGAAATGGTGGAAATGGCTACAGTAGGACCCAGGATGGTGAGGACACTAAGGTGCTGAAGAGAGGGCAGAGACCCGAAGGAGGAACAGGCACAGAGAGCCTGCTGCACTGGAGACTTGTTCCACACACCTGAGAAGGATACCCGGGAAGGTCCTGGGCCAGTGCTGCCCAGGATCAGCCCATCAGGCAGCATGCTCCCTTCCCAAGGGTGGCACACACTGGCATGATGCGACACAAAATGTGAGATGTGCTAAGGTAGGCTGTCCATGTGAAAACCCAGGCATCTTAGCAGAGACAGGGGGTGAGTGTGGAATGCCTCCAGGCACTTGGCAACCTCCCTGGCAGTCCAGAAAGGTGAGGAAAGTGCAGGTATAGGGTGTACAGGTGTGCCCCTCTGCCAGCATGTGCCTGTGAGGGAGGGAACAGGGAGGAAGCAAGGATGGTGGGCTGGCTGCTTGTCCTAAGGGACCTTGGGGCAGTAGGAGACAGGGAAGGCCCTGGGGTCAGTTCAGAGCCTGCTGGTATTCATTTCCAGGGACTAGGTATTAGTGGTCCTTCTGAACATGCCCCACTGCTCAGCCTGATAGTCGTCACGTGAATTCTTGGGTCTCATCCTTGGCAGTGTGTATGACTTGAATGATTCACGAGTTGATCTACATGGAGGCGAAGGAGCAGGGAAGTTTTTCTTTTCAGTGCATAGCTCCTTTCTACATGTAGACGCTTCAGTTTACAAAAAAAAATGAAGCATTAAGTTAATCAGTAGCGGTAGCCTCAGTTCAAGTGCTACACAGCCACACGAGGTTTAAGGGTTACAATGCTGAGCAACAGAACTATTTGTCTGGACAGTCCCACAATGCTGTGCTAGAGGATCTGAACCTATGAGAGTGGAAGAAAGAGAAGAATACAGTTTCTAGGCAACCTTCGAACACTAGGATGATGGAAACAGTGGACAAATGTTAGTGTCTTCAGGGATGTAGAGCAACAATGATGTAAAAGCACCTATCCTGGAGAAACTTCTTGTTTTAAGCTTGGCAACTAGCACTGCCCTTCAGTAAGACACCAGAGGTAAAGAAATTCTGTTCCTTGTGTCCGAGGTTTTCTGGGAACTAAAGGAACGTATGGAAGAACTGAGGTCACCCAGAAGATTAACTGGGCCTGTGTGGTCCTGAAGAGTCAAGGACATGCACAGTGTCTGGCCTGCAGATGGCCCAGACAGTAGCCCGGATCTGGAAAGGCCTGCCTGGTTTATGGACTGGCTGAGCTAGTTGCAATACCCAGGTCTGAGTGGAAGAATAAGGGATATTTCCAAGTGGTGTGTAAGAACAAGGGTCTTACATATCTGGGTGACATACAGAGGGTATGAGTAGTTACCTTTAAGAACCCAAGCTGGTACCAGAGGGTAAGGAAGGGACACGGTGGCAGGTGAAAACACTCGTTTCTTCAGCCATCTGGACAGTGTATCTGGTATGCTTGACAGGGCTTGTGTGGCCACTGTTGGTACTCTCACTGCTGACCTATGAGAAAAACTCCTTTACATCTTCCCAGTCTGCTGACATTCAAGGGAAAAAAGGGAGACCGACAGATGAGGGAAGCAGGGTACAGCACAAAGGGACATTTCTTGTCTGGTCAATAATTTCCTCCTAAGTGTACAGACATCTTAAGGACATTAAACAGTTGAGCAGAGCTTAAGATGAGGCTCCCGCACAGGTAAAAAGCATGGTTATAAACCATCCTGAGTGCAAGTAAGCTAGAAGACGACTAAGCTCTGTATATTCTCACTGAAAAAAAAAGAAGTATCATGTGCAATACTACTTGCAACACTTATAGGTATTAATAATATCTTTTTATTCTTCCAAACAACTCTTCATCCGATCATTCAAGAGATGAAACACAGAATATTCACCCTGGCAAGATTTAGAATTCAGACCCATAATCCAGACCCAGAGTCTACCACCTTGAAAACTGTTATGGCAAGATACTTGTGGGAAGGGAAGGGAGTAGAACTTCAACCAGATTTAATGTTAATGGGTAAGACTAGATATGCTCTACATCCAACCCAGAAATGTCTCTGTTTCTCTGTAAGCAGAGGACAGGAGGAAAATGGACCAAGGCAAGCATCTGGCAGAACAACTGGATGTAATCTTATCTGATAACCCTGAATTTGGGAGAAATTCCACACTGGTGCAGTGCGGAGCTTTCTGGATTAATATGTGAACCTGCTCCTTCCGAAGACAATTAGGTTCGGGCCTCTGCCAAAGGTAGGATAGGACACGCTTGGGTGAACTCCTCTTTATTAAGAATCCCAACACTACACATAGCAAGCAGCAACAAGAAGTTCTCAAAAGGACATAAGGCTCAGCTTATGGCAGAAAGTTGAGCTGACTGAAAACATGGAAGAGGAACATAAAGGAATTAGTGAATGGTGTATCGTACATAAGGAACCTCCACATCTTCGCCATCCTCATCATTGCAGCGCAGCTCAAGCACCAATGCTTGCACGTGGTGTCCCAGCTTTCGTTTTGATACTCGACTCACAATTTCTGTCATCCTAGTATGAGGAATAACAGGGTCAGGTAAGTGGAAAAAGAGGAAACGTCATAAAGGGGCAAATAACTGAGGAAAACAGTAAACATGAGTTGCATAGATAGCTGATGCTTCCTAGCCGAGACAGGACGAGAATCTTTCTCCCTGCCCAGTGGGCCCAACTCACGATTGATTCATCCGTTCCTTCAGCTTGCTGGGTGGCATGAAAAAGGAGTAGAGCATGGATACACCTTGGGACAGCATGGTGATCTCCAATTTGCACTCTGACTGAAGACAGTAGAAAGGAGGGGCAACGGTGTCACTAGGATGGACAATACCAGGGACCTGGACAAGCACTACCCTACATGTAGTAAGTGAAGAAGGGGTCTTACCTTAAAGTGGTCAAGGAACTGCTTGAGGGTCATCTCTTTACCATTAGGCTGCAGCCCCTGGACCTCAAAGCGATCCCAAAGTGTCCACTCTTGGTTATAAAACTGCAGGAGAAAGCACAGCAGAGTAAATCAGGGGACAAGCCCAGGTTACACTCTCCTCTTTAAATCACAAATATGAGAGTTTCATTTGCACAGTGCACAAGTTCCAACAGTGAACACAGGGTGCACAAAATTAAAGCAAACCTCCAGAATGATGAAAACCAGAGCCAGTTCTCCAAGGATAAGATACATATACTGCCCACTCATATACATACATGTATCAGGCACTGAAGCATAATACCGAAGGTTTCCATAAATACAAGACTTTACCTGGTGACGGGGTGGGGCAAGGGGCCCAGAGAAGCAGAAAATGGGCAGGGCCAAGTTGATGAAGCTATTCTTATAGGACTCAAGCTGTTGGTGTCCCTGTACCACTTTGTACAGCTCCAGACAAACAAGGCCAACTACAGCTGCTGTGGTTGTAGCAATGGCTGGGATGATCTTCCCTGCAATCAGCTTGCTCTATGACACAGAATGTGACGAGCAGAGGTGATTGTTAAGAGAAGCTGACAGCCCACTGAAAAGGCCGTATGTGGCAGATTCAAATTTAGAAAGGGTTCAAGTTTAGATCCAAATTTTTGTTACCTTATGTCGGTCTCCGAGGGGAATGTTATAGTTCTCTGCCCGGAGATTGGATGCAGCCACAATGAAATCCATGTGGAAGTTGGTGTCATCATCCTTTTGTTGAGTAGAGACAGAGGAAGAATAGAGGAAGCAGATCAGGAACAAAAGGTTTTCTAGATAGTACTATGGACCAACAGCTATCTTCCCCCATTACCTGCCAGAGAGGCCAAAGATGTCCCAGACCACCAAAAAAAAAAAGAAAAAAAAAAGGGCTATATGGTAGACGTGTAAACCCCACAAAAGCTAAAGATGGCTCAGCCCATCCTCCTATCCTGCTGAGGGCACCCCTCTCCCAAGCACCTTCTCAAAGTTGATGGGGTACATCTTGAACCCAGGAAGGCTCTCTGGGGTGGGCAGCATGGCCTTGAGCTCCTGTAGGCGGTTATCATCTGCCGAGAGGAGGTAGTACATGTCAGTCCTCAGATACACATTAGATTCCAGGCCAGGGCCTGAGGTGAAAGCAGGAGTCCGAAGTAAGGCAGAGAATTTCACGCAGATAAAGGATTTAAAAAGGAAAGACATCACGTGAGAGAGTAAAATGAAGCAGGAAAGACAAGGCAGAAACACCTCAGAGGGAAAAGAAGTAGACAGGTGTGTGGGACGTGAAAAGGAGTATAACTAGAGAAACTGAGGGAAAACGACTGAGACACTAAGAAAGGTTTAGACAGCAAAACTATTTTCAATAAAGATGGATGCAACCCAGGTTTCTGACTGATGAATGAGTGGATACAAAAACGTGGTCTATCAATTCAGTGCAACACTAAGTCTCCTTAAAGAGGAACGTTTGAAATCCTGGCAGTTTAACAGCACAAATGGCCTCAGAACTACATGCTTAGCCAGAGGTAGAAAGGCAAGTATTGGATAAGGTACTTAAAAATCAAAATCATAGAGACGGAAGATACATTATTGTTTGCCAGAGGCAGAGGCGAAGGGGACTGGGGTGTTACTGTTTGATGGGTATAGAGTTTAAGATTTGCAAGTTAAGTTCCATAAATTTCCTGTACAATGTAACTGTATTTAATACTACTTAAGCATAATTTTAAACATGATTAAGATGGTAAATCTCTTGTGTTTTTTACCAAAATATTAAACAAACAAATGCAGGATGTCAATGAGAACATAAAATAAGACATCTTAAAGAAGAACAACACAGACAAGGGGAGATAAGAAGGAAGACACAAAAGCAAACAGGAGACCAGGGGATAAAAGTTACAGAAAGGAACACTGTGGGGAAATGCACCGATACAAAAGAAGAGAGTAGTGAAATGGGATAAACAGGACATATCTGAGAAGGAAGGAGGGGCATAAACAGTGCAGTTTAAAAAAAAATGTACAGGAAATAGGACAGTAGAAAGTACCTGAAGGGGAGACAGATAGGGAAATGCATAAAGAGAAATATACGAACAGGAATGTGAGAGAGTAGCTATTTCAGACACAAAATGCAAAAGATATAAGGAGACGACAGATACACAAAGGAAGAAATGGAGGGCTACAAACAAGATAAAATGTAGACAAGGACTTCTACAACACGAGGTGGGTAGGGGAGACATGGAACTTTGAGTTGGGGGACAGTTACAGTTGGAGAGATGAGGAATATATTGAGAGAGAGATGAAGAAAGATATACAAACAGATTAGTAACAAGTTAAAGATACATATCAGAGAGAAGTAGAGAGATCTGTCAAGATGAACCCGGGAAGAAATCAGGCAGAGAGACTACTGGTGGAAATCGTATCCATTTATACTGCAGAAGCACACAAAAAAGTAGTACAGAAAATAGAAGAAAACAAAGAAAAAAACACACACAAAAAAGACATGGTCCACTCAGAGAGGGAGAAGAAAGAAGTAGTGCGAGAGAGAATTTGTCTCCATCAAACCCACTGGAAACTGAAGAAGGAAAGAAGGCAGTGGATCAATCTCTGACAGGAGATCTCAGAGCAGAGCCAGGGGCAAAATATGAGTGCACAGGAGGCTTGCATGGACATGGGCTACAGTAGCGTGGTGGCTCCGGCCCAGCTAAAGGATCTCACCAACGGAGGAACTGGTTTGCAGCTCCTGGTCAGAAACTTGGATCCTGACGCCAGACTTCAGGGTGAACTCAGGGACCTGCATAGACTGAATGAGTTTGGTGACAGCACTCCGGTCCTGAGAGCCCATCATCCCATAGGTCTGGGCAAACAGGTTGGCAGCAGCTATCACGTAGTCCAGATGCAGGGGCTAAGAGAAGGCAAGGTAAGGAAGGGAAAGAACATCTGTACTCCCCTACGGAGGCTCAGCCTCCTTACCACCTGTTCAGTGACTTTCCACCCAACTGCAGGAGACCCAGACTTACATTGTTGACATCAAAGATAAGCGGGTGTGGGCAACATTTAGGCCCAGACCAGAAAGGGGCTCCTGAACCTGTAAGCTAGAAGACAAAAAGATTTAGGGGAGCAGAACCTGCCACAAGAAGTCTCTCTGATAACCACAACTCCTCATTTTCAGTCCCAGAAGGCCCAACTCACTATCCTTTGACACTCACTTTCTGTCAGATAGAGAGATATTTATGAAACTTTTAGGGACTGCCAGCCACTGTGCTCTTGTTGTTCAGATGCTAAGTCATGTCCAACTCTTTGGGACCCCACGGACTGCAGCACGCCAGGCTCCTCTGTCCATGGGCGTCTCCAGACAAGAATACTGGCCTGAGTAGCCATTCCCTTCACCAGGGGATCTTCCTGACCCAGGGATCAAACCCAGGTCTCCTGCACTTGAGGCAGATTCTTTGCCACTTCAGACACCAGGGAAGCCCACCAGGCACTGTACTAACAAATTAATTTACTAACTTAACAAAGAGCAATTAACCTTCACAAAACTCTCATGAAATTAGGTCATCACTCTTCCTAATTCCATGATGACTATACTGAGGTGCAGAGAGGAACTGCATAACTTGTGCCAAGAGAACACAGCTAGATTCTATGCCATTAACTCTGAATTTTTTCTTCTACAGTTGTGACAGTCTTGACTGGGAATCTGGAATGACACATCCTACGTCTAAAGGAAATGGATACCAAGTATCTGACGGTTAGAAGAAAGAGTGACTGGGCATTAGAGGAGAACGGTAGCAAGTCTTTGACTTCAAAAATCATTTGCTTATTCATTTTAAGAGCTCTCAAAGCCTTGCTGAGCTTGCCACAACCAGATTAACTGGAATGAATCACGTCAAAAACATGGCAGAAGCCAACACAATAGTGTAAAGCAACAACCCTCCATTTAAAAATACATTAAAAAATATTAAAAAACGCTGGGGCACGCTGTTCCCAGTAAAACCATTCTGACAAATGGTCCCTGTGTTACTACCTGGTTAGGAGGAAAGTTGTGCAGCAGCTGTCTGATGTTGTTGGAGTACTGGGTATGCCAGTGATAGTACGCCCAGGGCACACAGTCAGCCCATGATTGTGGCCGCTGCAGCACTAAGCTGCGCTGCACGGCCTCCTGCACCTGCAGAGGCTGGGTGCCTGCCAGGCACAGCGTTCGTTCCACAAACTTGGCGTCTCTATCAAGAATCTGAAGGGAAACCAATGCAGAATTACACAGCGATTCCACGAGTAAGCTTATATCTGCGGAAAGTCAGTCCTGACTTCCAAAGGTATAAGGCCCAAGCAACCATTAATTTATTCAGAAAGTAGACCAGGGAATCCCCTGTGCTTCCACCACAGGGGGTATGGATACAATCCCTGAGTGTCCACACACCACTGTGTGATACCTGGTGTGCCCCTGGCCCTCCCTACACCAAAAAAAAAAAAAAAAAAAAAGTACAGTAGGTTCTAACTGTTAAATGGTTACAGAATGCTTTGACTGACAGGCCAGAGACAGGGTGAGCAGGTACTTGCACCAACATACTCACGTAACGTATTTGTTGACATTTTCTGCTGGCTGCTTGAAAAGGCCTTCAAACTCATCCCGAGCCCACTGCAGACAGAGCAGAAAACAGTACATTGAGATACAGGAAACAAATGAGATACTAGAAACAAAGTTAAGTTTCTGCAGGCATTAGAGAGATCATCAGGCAAATACAGAAAACCACGGCTGCTATGGGAAAACAGAGGAATGAACCCACCGCAATGGGACTCCTCAAACTTTTAAACACCCACCATTCCATTTAAAAATCAATGATGTTAATCTGGGCAGATTACTACACAGGCGTTTTTTGTGGTAAACTTATTCTGAGGCTGAACACGTTACCCTAGGTATGTCATGCCTCAATTATTAAAAAAAAGAAAAGTTCACACCAAAAATAAAACATGAATGATCTTGCAGGGACTGAGCAGAAAATAATAATAGCACTTTTCCCCGGGAATTAAAGAGACAGTACAGTCCCAGGCAAAGTGATGTAAACCATCCTGTTGGTGGAGATCCAGATTCACATGCCAGCTCTGCCACACTTGTGTGACCTTCAGGTTCATCTTGACTTTTATATCCTCATTTCAAAATTCTGTATCACTAGTATCTACACCTCAAGGAGTTAATATCATAGAGTAAGCACACAAGTATATATTTTCAGCTTATTTTGAATGTCTCAAGGACATACCAAATGTAACTTCTTTACAAAAGTCCTGTGAGAGTTACTACTTTCATTTCCATTTTACAGATAAGGGATCTGAAGCATGAAGAGCTTAAGTCCAAGTATCAAACCCGCTCTTCATTTCAAAAGCCCTTTTACTGGCCTCTCTGTGTGTTAGTAGAAAGAAACAAAGTAACAGAACCATAATCTTGCAAAGGTTTTACATACTGAAAGACACAGACACACAGTCCAACACATCTTATTACCTCTCCCTCTGTCTCTGACTATAAATATATGCATACACACACAAACATGAGAGGCATGGACAGGCAGAGAGACACACTGTGTACTGAGTCCCTAAGTAAAAACATCCTGCAAGGAAAACTGACAGATTCAACTGTTTCTTCTCATTTTCTTACTACTCCCATACTTCCTAAACATACTCAAAAACTGCATTAGGAATTATTTTGATAAAATGATGGTTATTTTGGGACCAAAAAGGAGATGGGATTCGGGACAGGTTCTGAGTGGCAGCAAACGGGAGGCTTTTACATTGTCAATCTAGATGATAGATATGCTCTTATATATACATATATATACACACACACACTATAGAAACAATTATTCTGACAAACAAACTGCTAAATGTATTCTGGACAAATATCAAAATGTTAGTCGTAAATATGTACTCAGTAGAGAGGGGTTTTAATAACGAGCAGAGCTGATATTAAGAAGTTGATTTTGTTTAGCAACAAAACAGTATCCTCTATAGAAAGACAGACATCTTCACATCTTAGATACACACTTCTTATGTAAAATGTCTTGCATAGTTTACATAATACTTCCCTCTATGTTTCCAATATAAAATGCCCAAGTTAAGAAAAAGCATTCCAAAAAGGTTAGGGTAGTAGGTCTAAAATGAATGAAGGAGATTTGAAGGGAGGGCACATCTTATATACACTGAGGCTTGCATGACTGGAATCAAAAGAGCTTGGCATTGTCTAGATGCTCTTTCTACCCCTACAGCTGATCACCTGCAACGTGTGCTCGATGGCATTCGGGAAGTTCTTCAGCGTGCAGATGGGGATGGACTTCTCAGGAGGGTCCTGGCTGGAGCTGTATGACTCTGTCAGGAAGGGGATAACCACTTGTACATTACCCTTGGTTCCCAGTGTTCCTGACTCCAGAAGTGGCTTACGGTAGTAAACACAACGGCGGTCCATGTACATGCCTGCGGCAAAGAGTCAGCAGATGAAGGGGAAGTAAACATCAGTACAGATGACACTCCCCCCAAAAAACAGAAACATGGCTCTGTCCTGGTTCTCACCCATTCACAACACTTACGGGCATCCACATTGTCCAGGGCATTGGCCACACCATCCAGGTTTTGAAAGAAGTCATCATCATACACATGCTCTGTCTCAGGGCCGACACGGTTCTGATGGCTTATGACCCGGATGTGTGGATTTATTTAGCTCACAGCTGCAGCAGTTGTATCAGACTTCAACTTCTGGGTAGCGGCAGAGGAAACAGAACTGTCAGTCATATAATCACCCAACTCACCTGTGTAGACCTATCCTGGAAACTGATTAAGTAATGATGCACAAGACCAACGCTGTGACTTCAGGGGCTCTGTGGCATATGACAAATGCCACGCAGCTGAGGCTGAAACAAACGGGGAACAGGGCTTAAAAAGAAAACAGTGACCCAGTAGGAGACAATGGGTCGAGCACCTGTTTCTTCTATCTACCCAACATGTACTGTTAGTTTTAGTTACCAGCACCCAGAATGCACGTGCGGTGCGTTCAATGAAAGAAAACCAAGATCGTCTGGTTTACAAAACCAGGATCCTCTGAAACTTAGCTCAAGCTCCTCTTCTGTTCAAAACCCTCTATCAGTTCCCAATTTCAACTAAGGATAAGATGAAGTGGCCCCTATTGCTTTTACAAGTTTCTCTATTCCTATGATCTTCCACTGTCTCTATCTCTTAACCACAGAAAAAATATTTCAACCTTGAGATTTTCCTCATGCTGCTACCTTTACATTAGTATATTCTTTCCTGAGATTTCTTCCACTCCACCTCTCTCATTTTTAATTCTCTGTGGAAATGTCACCTTTCCAATGAGACCTTTTTTACCACATTGCAAACTACCCTCTCATGACACTTTGTTCTTTATCTTGATAAGGATTCTTACCCTAAAACATTATTTTTCACCCCATGTTCAAACTATACATTTTGCTATTGGTATTGATCCACTCTAGCAGTTGAAAAAGCAGAGGTCTTAAAAAGGATTTTTTTTTAATGTGATGCAAAGCCATCAATATTTCCTACTTTAGACATTTAAACAGAGAAAGGTTTAAATAATATTAGTCTGTTTAAGACTAGGATAATTCCATTACATAACACAATCATTGAGAAAAACATCGCAACATGAAGACTTTAATATTAAGACAGGTTTCGAGTGTAATTACAATTTTGCACATTTCTCTTAAGCTATTTTAGAAGACAGAAGAATTTTCACAACTACTGCAGTCAATGCATTATATATTTTGTTTAAAAGAACCTAAGGGATATTCGGACTTACAAAAAATGTTTCAGTAACAGTTTTTAGGTGATATTTTAAAAATACAGAAAACTTGACAGGTGTTTACAAATGTAATTGCAAGGTGAAATGTGGAATCCATATCAACATTCACTGGTTTTCAATTCATTTAGAATTGAAAGTGAATGTCCTTAATGCACAATTATGTACCATCATACACTGATTGAGTCATTTGGAAAAACCCTGTGTTCTTGTCAGATAGCTGTTCAAAGTAGAGAGGGAGATTCACCCTTCAGCTGGTGAAATGAAAACAAAAGCAAAATAGTGTCCTAGTACGTCTTGAAACATCTATGGACTTGAGGAAAGAGTGCTATCTACCTCCACTGAACTTTGAGAAACTCTCAATGTTATGTCACTGCATCAGAGAAGAGCAGAAACTTCTCTATGTTGTTTTATATCTCAACTATCAAGGCAGTGCCTAGTATCTGCATGATAAAATGAAAGGCAGACACTTAGCAGGTGAAAAATAACCCTGACTTTTACATAAGACTTTCCTCTATATCCTAGCTTCTGTAGTCTCACATAAGCCGTAACTAAAAATCAAAGGAAAAAGAGTAGGGAGAGATGCAAAATGACAAATGCAAGACACAAGTACTCAGTGAATATCTGCTCAAAGACTGAACCATAGAGAAAAAATAAGGGAGGAACTGAAGGAAAGGGGTAAACAAAAGAGACCTAAGTTAGCATGACGGATAACAAAGAAAAGGAGAAAAACCCAACAACTTAACCCTGTCCATCTCACTCACCGTGACATCCCAAGGACGGAACAGAAACTGTCGGTTCAGATTTGACTTCTCGATGATGTCCATGTCTGTTACCGTGATTGACCCACCATCCCCACAACCTAGCCCAATCATGGCAAAGTTCTTGAGCAGTTCACAGCCAATGGCCCCTGCACCCACCTGGGAGGCAGTCAAGAAGACAGAGAGGTAATGGTTAGCGGCACTCGGATAACAAAGCCACCCCTCAGTCCTATTCCTCTCGGAGACTGTAAGAGAGGGCTGGGCAAGAGACTCTAGTATTGAATATTTAAATCCCAGGAGCATAAAAACACAAGGTCATCAGGAAAGAGGCAGAAGACCAGGAACAAAGGAACTGGCATGAAAACAAAATGCTAAACAAAAGAGATGAGGGTACAATCAAACACCCTCCCTTCTAAGGCAAAGACTCCAGAAGAGGTGGCCAGAGCTAGGATAAATAAAAGGAGCTTGTTCCCAACAGGAGTTCTCACCAAGAAGTATCTCTGCTTGCCCAGTTTCTCTTGCAGGCCGGAGCCAAATACAGCCACCTGCCCATCGTAACGGTTCTGGCACTGCATCAGGTGAAGGGAGGAGAGGATTAGAGAAATTGTACACCAGAGAGGACCAAAGTAATACCTTCTCTGTGGGCCCCCATCACATACTGGAAGGCATTTGTCCTCTGAAAGAGCCTCCTGGCCCTCAGGGAGACACTCAAGGGCATCGAAGTACAGCCACTGCATAACAGGCATAAACTTTCCAGTACAGGCCTGAGGAGGAGGTAAGAAAGGGGAAGTGATCCCCGGTTAATCAGAGCCTGACGGCAAGTAGCAGAGTCAGAAAGAAACCGAGCCCACTCCACCACTATCCTTCTACCCACACCTACCTTCATAACCTCCTGAGCAGCCAAGCCCCCAGTGAAGGCATTCATGGGTGCTAGATCCCCAGCAGCCACGTAAGCCAGCTTCGTGATGAGGTCTTCATCCAAATTGTCTTGCTGCACTGCTGGCGGGGCTTGAGCCTTCACAGCCTCTGCTAGGGTCACCAGTTCTGCTGCAGCCTTCTGGTAGGACCCAAGAAACAAAGACTCACTCATGCCACTGTGGGGAGAGGGAGAGGCAGAAAAAGTAAAGACAAGTAGTAACGGTAGAGCTTTGGTGCAAGGACCCGGGCTGGCTTGCCCACCCACCTACCTCACTGTGGGGCCGAGGGGACCTGCCATGCTGAGCACAGAACTGGTGCAAGGCCTGGAAACCTATGTGCAGTTGAGCAGAGTGAGAATACTTGGCAAAATCTGTTATCACAAAGTCTGGCTCTGCCAGTGAGTTGAGCAAGGATTTCTGGTGGAGAACAGAGAAGACCACATCAGAACTAGAAAAGCAAAACAAAATGAAGTGAGAAATACCTGGAACCTTACAGTACACCCTCCTGCACATACTTACAAAGCTGATCTTCTTAGCTATTTTGACCTGACTGACAATGCCTCCACGGATATAATCAGAGAAATTTGAGGTATCACAGATACTAAAGGTGTAACGACCTAGAGGATAAAAAGCATTAAGATGTATCTGTCAATTCACACCCTCCCAAGATCAACAGGACTACCAAAACCAGAATGGAAGAACCACCCACCTCTCCCTCTCCACCACCCACCTCTCCCTTGGATTCAAAGTATGGGATTAGCAGATGCAAACTATTATACACAAGATGGATAACAACAAGGTCCTGCTGTATAGCACACAGAACCATATCCAATACCCTGTGATGAACTATAATGGAAAAGAATACATAAAAGAACGTATATACAACTAAACCACATTACTCTAAAGTAGAAACTAACGCAAGATTCTAAGTCAACTGCACTTCAATTAAAAATACTTTCATTAAAAACAAACAAAAAACCCCACAATGCTGATTTCTTCAATAGCATAGGTACTCTATGTCTAATATGTCACTCTGGAGCAAAAAGCAGCAAGCTCTTAAAGGATCCAACATCAATGAGATAAGCTCAACAATTATGAAAGGAACACAAAAACACAGCTTGAAACTCTAAAATCCACAATTATCTTCCATCCATCAAAAATTTCCAGGTCATGAGTCTCTGGCTTTAATTTTCATCGAATCTGTAAACTCTGAAATATTATTTCTTTAAAAAAACTTTTCTGCCTCACACCTTTGTTGGGATTTATTAGATTTCATGTATTTTTTTCACTTGAAGCAGCCATATGTCTTGTTTATATCTTCCAAATCATTCTGTACTATCTATATTCATGATTACAGAGAACTCTGTTGACACATGAAATATATTTATGACGTGACAGGTGGTGCTAGTTGTAAAGAACTTGCCTGCCAATGCAGGAGACATTAAAAGAGACCCGGGTTTGAGCCCTCAGTGGGAAGATCCCCTAGAGGAGGAAATGGTATTCCACTCCAGTTTTCTTGCCTGCAGAATCCCAGGGACAGAGGAGCCTGGCACACTACGCTCTACAGGGTCGTAAAGACTTGGGCACAACTTTGGTGACTTAGCATGCATGCATGTGTGCACTGATTTTATATACTTGGTATGTTTACCAAATTAACACACAAGAAAAAAGTAGTAGATTTAATAAAGTAGAAGAAATTATCCATGGTACCACAAAGAGCATGGAGACAACCAAAGAGTACAGTGGCTTAAAATGCATGTAACTGGAGATCTAGAAAGAGATGATGGAGTGGGGAGTGGGCTGAGAAAGTAGTACTGAGACGAAAGAAGGTGGTGGGGGTGGGAGGGTGCAGAAATATTCCAAATCTGATAAAGCTATGGTCTCAAAGGTAGTATAAGTTTGAAAGGAAGCACCGAGAAAATTACACAAAGGTCTGCTATCATAATTGCAAAATATACTAAGGTATATAATCATCAATCCATTTCTTAAGATCAGTGATAGAAAATATAAGAACGTTAAATGCAAAGGAACAAGGGTAAGAACAGGAGACTTTGTGGGGAAAACAGGCAAGAAAGAACAGCACCACATCTTTAAGCAATGATATCTAGAATGCTACACTCTGCAAAAACTTTTTTGTTCAAAATCAGGCATTCTGAAATAAAGACAATTTCAAACATCAAAAAGCAAGAAGAGTCGCCACTAAAGTACAAAATCTGATAGAGCTTGAGTGGAAGCAAAATGGTACTGGATGCACCTCTAAATGGAGAGAACATGGAACTGTCAAACCCCAACAAATAATTTTAATTTGGCAATTACAGAATAAAAAAGCTCTTCTAGCTTTTCAATGCTTGAAGAGGTTTATGACGCACATGAAATTGCAATTATTTTGGTGTGTGTGTGCAGTGATAAAGTATTACTTGGAAAAGCAAATGCAGAATTTACATTTACACAGTCTAAAAGTTAAAGAAAAAATTAAAGAGAGGTGCAACCAATGAGCCAAATGGAATCAAATACTAGCGGTATTCATCTTTCTGCTTCTAGGTTCAGTTCACAGTTCTCAACTAAGGCTACATGGACACATGTCTTGTAAATCCCACGTGAGAGATTAGAGAGTTATAGCCTCTTGGTCTGTGTTGCAATTCAGTATACATACATATGACCACAGGGACAATTCTCCCTTCGTTCTAGGTAATCATTTCCTGACCCCCAGCTTAGCATACCCAGGACTTTGATCTCTAGTGGACAGATGCCATTGAGTTCATTCATGCCCTGAACTTCTGTAAAGGAGATGAAGTCACCACTCTCAAATCCGTGTCGGGATTCATCCAGGCAAGTGACAATACCAGGGTTGCCCTCGTTGGAAGAGAAGTTAAAGAAAGTCTCACATGTAGAATCAGGGTACCCGGAGCATAGACAAGGACTAAGGCTACAAACATGCCTGCCTTGGGCCAGACTCCATACCTTGGTAACCATAGAAACCATAGCAGTGAGAGGCTGTTCCCCATTGGAATCTGTGAGGATCATTTCCTCTCCAAAGTCACAGAACAATTGCCTGTAAAAGGAGAAAACAGGACTGAGACCTGGAACTCGGGTACTGAGGCATCATGCTGGTTACATGACAGTGCTTACACAGTATGGGCAGAGGTGGACAGGCAGACCTGTATACATGGTTTTCCTAAGAGAATCATTAGGGCACTGAGAGCCAGGGTGGTTTTGGCCTGGCCTAGGAAGGCGTTAGGGATAAACGGAGAAGGTGGATCTCACCCAAACAGACCTCGAGTGTCTGCTACCACCAGCTTGATTCCATGCCTGTGACAGAACTCACCCACCTTCAGCTGGTCCTCCAAAGGAGAGTTGGTAAGGACCACCACCTGTAACAAGAAAGCAGCTCACTGCAAAAAGGACTGGCACTGAGGTGAAGGGGAGTAAGGAAAAAAAAGGAGAAAGGCAAGTCAGGAACTGGCAGAAGGTCAGGGCTCCAGCTTACGAGTTGACCTTTTCTACAAATATATTTGTATTTCTACAAATATAAAGTACATGTTTCATACTCTGTCAGGGGACGTTCAACTTTCAGGGATCCAATATGTTATTCTCTTGTGTGCCATTTCTCAAGGACTCTCTATTTCTTATCAGTTCCTGGAAAACAGCACCGAGCAGAGGTACACAGATCTCAGGACTGAGATCATGAGAAAGAGCACCTTCTTGGACTCCTTTCAGTGACTCCCTTCAGTGACATTTTACTTAAAGGTAATTATTCAGTTACACACCCCTCTTACTCAAGATATGGAATACTTTCTGGCCCTTTGAAGACTGTTATGTGCTTGGCTTTGTTTTTGCTCAAATTTTTTACTACAAGTTGCCTTGTATGAAGATATATAAATGTGCATTTCTGCAAATAAAGCACCCCTGTTTCACTCGAGACCTGGGTCCCCTGTGTCCCAATTCTGGTTGACTCCAGTCCCCAGGTCCCAGTCTACAAAGACTGTGACAAGCGGCGCCCCAACAGGGACCTGGTGAATGCCCTTGACAAGCAGATGGAGTGACTGTTAGGACCTACGGAGTTTCGGTTATGTGACAAATGGCTGGAATGCCCCCACCACTTTTCTACCTTACTTCATCATTTATTTAAGGTTCAGGACTTTTGGTTTCACATCAGCAGATAGAGGCTTGTCTACAAACAGTGGTTGAATATAATCCCTGGTTCCTTGATGAAAGCAGTTCCAATTTTAAAAGTTGGAACTGGGTTAAAAAAAACTAAATCACAAGACAGAGAGAAAATATTCCAATAGATTTCTGGCCCTTGTGGGCCTTCATTAAAGCCATAATCTTGCCATTTCAAGGCAATTCTAGCCCCCCGAATATCATCAACAAGCCTAACTCTCATTATATGACTATAAATTAGATGATAAGACTTTACAAAAGGCCCACTTAGAGCAACATAAAATGTTTCAAAACTTTCCCACCATCCCTGCTCCGACTGCCCCAAGCACTCCTCCTGCTCTAGTAACAGGCACGAAAACTAAGTTCCCCTCAATTAAAAGACAAAATGAATCTGATGATGATTCTTCTGCTGCTCTCTTTGACACTAAAGCCAACAATACATTTGATGACAATAATAAGTCCCTAACACACACTCATATTTAAGAATACAGACGATCCACTCCTTCTCCTTCACCACGAAAGCTTTCTGATTTACTGGCTTTCCAATCTCAAGTCTCTGAGGCCAATGATCTTCTTGCCTTTCCTGTGTAAAGAAATATTAACGCTCAAGGGCAACTAATAGCTCAATATGAAGGCACTGGTTTTTCTCACATGCAGAAAATGAAAAAGGTTGCAACTATGTATGGCCCTTATTCACTTTTTACTAAACTCTACGGCATCTTCTATTGAAAATTTTATTCCTTATGGTTGGCAAATTTTGATATAAGTTCTTCTTAAACCAAGAAAATATCTTCAGTAGGTAATACAGTTTCACAATGTGGCCCAAGATCATGCCAATTCTAACGCTCGAACTGGCACTCCCCAAAACCAAATTACTTTTGAAATGTTAACCGGTACAGGGCAATTTGATTTGGGGCAAGTTCAGATACAATGCCCTGTATCTGTTGACTGCATGAACAATTGAAAGAACTTGCCCTTGACACTTGGGATCAAATTACTCCTCAAGGAGAACCTAAAGGTAGCTACACAAAGATATTACAAGGACCTAATGAAGCCTATGCTGATTTTTTAGCTGGACTGGGGGTTGCTATCTCCCATAATGTTCTCACAGAAGAAGCCAAAATACAGTGAGAAAAACTGCTTATATATGAGAATGCGAATCAGAAATATCAAAGAGCCATTGCTCCAATTCATGAGACCAAGAATGTTATTATTTGAAGGCTTGTCACAACTTAAGATTAAAAACTCAGAAAATGCAAATGTTAGCTAAAACAATGGCTGCTACCTTTAAAAAGGAAAATGAAAGATGTTTTGTTTATGGAGATAAGAGCGATTAAAATAATTGGCTGAACACACACACACACACACACACACGTGTGCATACAAATTGAAACTATTCAAAAGCCTCCAAAAGTCTGCCCTCATTGTCATAATAGGATCAGTTCAGTTCAGTTCAGTTGCTCAGTCATGTCCGACTCTTCACAACCCCATGAATAGCAGCATGCCAGGCCTCCCTGTACATGACAAACTCCCACAATTTACTCAAACTCATGCCCACTGAGTCAGTAATACCATCCAGCCATCTCCTCCTCCGTCGTCCCCTTCTCCTCCTGCCCCCAATCCCTCCCAGCATCAGGGTTTTTTCCAATGAGTCAACTCTTCACATGAGGTGGCCAAAGTATTGGAGTTTCAACTTCAGCATCAGTCCTTCCAATGAACACCTAGGACTTATCTCCTTTAGGATATACTGGTTGGATCTCCTTGAAGTCCAAGGGACTATCAAGAGTCTTCTCCAACACCACAGTTCAAAAGCATCAATTTTTCAGCGCTCAGCTTTCTTCACAGTCCAACTCTCACACTGAGGCTAAAAAATGTCAACCTAAATATGATGTTGGGTGAAATCTTATTTCAGGAAACTCAAAGATGGGGACTCACCAGGTCCCCATCAACAAAAACCAGGGACAAACTCCATCTTTTCCCATTCACGGCAGCCTCCAATAATGCTGCCATGAATATACTAGTCATAAATGATTCTCTTCTTTTTCCTCAAACAGTCCCTTCTAGAATACTATATACCTTTACACCCTCTAGACCTAGAGAGATTTGTTTTCTCTCTCCCTTATCCTAATCATAGCAGGCCTCACAAACGATATCAACAGACTGTACTGCCTCAAAAACTGATGAAGTCTTCCATTATATGTCAATATTATGTGGCCAACGTGCTCTATTACACAATAATGCTGGCTCATTACATCAAATTTGGAAAATCCCATACCGACATGCTAAAGAAACCATTAATAACTGCTCTACTCATAGGCCCCTACATCTTCAACCCATTACACAAGGTATCAAACCTCAAAGATTACAACCCAATGAACTATGGCAAATAGATATAACTCATTGACCTGAACTTTCTCCCTCTGCCTTCTTACATGTCTCAACTGATACAAATTCTTCTTTTATATGGGCCACACCTCTCCGAGGTGAAACTATACGACATGTTATAACCCACCTGTTAACTTGCTTTGCAATAAAGAGAACACCTAGTTCTATAAAAACAATGGCCCTGCCTATATTTCTAGACAATTCCAACAATTTTTACACTCATTTTCTATTAAACATATTATAGGTATTCCTTATAATCCACAAGCACAGGACATAGTTGAACATTGAAACTATAAATAAAACAATTAAAAAAGGGGGAACACACAGGAACACATCTATCCTCCTTATCCAGAGCAGACTTCACTAGATTCCAACACAATATATTCTTTAATCCTATAACTACTATTAATACAGCTTTGTTTTACATTTTTTAAACTTACCACAAGGAGATATTTTGACAAAAGCAGAAAAACATTTTGGCATTGAAGGACACCTCACTTCCTCTGCGTATTTGGTATCAAGATGGGTTGACTAAATGATGAAAATTTGGGAAATTACTATTACAGGGAAAATGGGTATGCTTGTATTTCTCCAGCTGGATCGTATAGAATCAGTTGGTTCCCTCTTCAGAAAATCTGCCCCAGGGGAGCCACCAGCCTTCAAGACAGAGAAGAAAGGGCAACATCCCCAGAAGGAAGAGTTTCCAGTACAAGCCATTGTGGCTTTAAAAACTACCAAGAAATGCCACACTGAACATCATTGCCCTTCTATCTCCCTACTTGGCGACAGATAAAAATCCTTACTAATCAAGCTGAAAATCTCGTTTCTCAACAGAGAATTCCTCGGAATCCTGAAAATATTTTTGTTGCCACGCTTGCTTGGCTTGCTTTTGCTTCTACCACTCAGGCTGACTTGATTAATCACACTTATTGGGCCATACCTAACCCTCCTTTATTGCAGTTACAAAATGGACAGACATAGGACTGATAATCCACTAATGACTCAATACGTATGCCTTTTCCTTGGAACTTGGAGGGGCCCTCTCATCCTGAGAAAGAAGGCAGACTGATTAACATTTCTCTGGGCTATTAAATCCTTCCTTTTACGCATGGGCCCAGCAGTATCATGTATTCATGTTCAACAAACATGGACTTTTGTCCTGCCTCCAAAAAAGAACTTCGGCACATTGCTTGGACTGCTTACTGCCCTGTCCTTTTATGAGAACCATGTCAATACAACCAAAACTCTAGGAGAAGGAAAAAAGTTGGAATGTAAGCTGTTTACTTATAAGGACTTTAAACACACTCCTGTTTTTTGGGATATATGTCAAGCTAAATCAGGGAAATTAATGTTTGTGGCCAATTACAACATTGTTGATTGTGGACCCTATGACATGTGGTTATCTAACTGCTCAGATGATATTAACAGTACTATGTGTTATTATGTTACTCAAGTAACATGGAAGATTACCAACAGTT